AACACATAAGAGATGGTCATTGGTGCTAATTAAAATGGATTTCTTAGTGGTGGTGACTTTGGGCCAGAGTCTTGCATGTTCCACTGCAGTGCCCAAGCAGGACCAAGCAAAGGTAGGGGCTGCTCAGCCTCCGACGGCTCCTGTTCTTCCCTCAGCTCTAACAGCAGAGGATTCGGCCCCTGCTTCAGTTCAGTTTTCCAATCACAGAATCATAGAATGGCTTGGGTTGGAACGGACCTCAAAGATCATCCAGTTCCAACCCCCCTGCCATGGGCAGGGACACCCTCCACTACACCAGGTTGCTCAAAGCCTCATCCAACCTGGCCTTGAACACTTCCAGGGATGGGGCAGCCACAGCTTCTCTGGGCAACCTGTGCCAGTGCCTCACTGCCCTCAGAGTGAAAAATTTATTCCTTATATCCAATCTAAATCTGCCCTCTTTCAGTTTAAAGCCATTGCCCCTTGTCCTGTCACTACATGTCCTTGGAAAATGTCCCTCTCCAGCTTTCCTGTAGGCCCCCTTTAAGTACTGGAAGGCTGCAATAAGATCACCCCGGAGCCTTCTCTTCTCCAGGCTGAACAGCCCCAACTCTCTCAGCCTGTCAAACCACTTCTTCCAATTCACAACAAAACCAAACCTACTTCATCTGGATCAGCTGCAGCGACGTCAACACTCGAGGAAGCCTCTCACTGCATTAACAACAGGTTAGTACCGTCCTTTTTGTGTCATGACAGCACTGCTCTGCCCCATGGAGCCCTGCCGGGAGATAAACCCGGCGGCGGTTCGCTCTGCCCCGAACACCGGCCACAGCGTTTCGCACGCTGCCGAGCAGGGGCGGAGGGATCCCCGCTGCGGTTCCCACTGCATCTGACTTTGCCTAATTAGTCTTATCACTGCAATCCATGTACATAAAACCATCCTGGTTTGCTAAGGAAAGGTTAGAAGTCACAGTCACCCGAAGGAAGTGGTTTTAGCTTCTCCCCTGAGCCTCCCCACGCTTCTCCTACCTTCAGCCTTCAAAAAAATCTCTTTGGCTGCACCGTGAAGCGGATCACAGAACCAAACAGAATTAAAAATTAACCCTGCAGCGAGTCAGGCACAGGGCCCCTCAGTCCTGCATCCCGTCTGCAACAGAGGATGCCAAGGAAACATTTAAAAACAGACCACGCAGGGACGCTTCCCCCAAACACCCTCCTAACCTCCACAGATTTATGGCTCGGAAAAAACATTCGGTCATAGATGGGATCTTTGTATTTAATAGTCTTTTGTGTAGTTTTCTCTCAAATTCGTACAGTCGCTTTTGGCACCTATGTAAACACAACTTAATACCATGAGATCTTGCAGAGAAAACCACATTTCCTTGTTGCTCGGAGCCTGCCATCCGCTCGCTGCACCCGCCGCCTCCAAACCCTCTGCCAGCTCAGTCCCCTCCTCTGCTTTCTCCTAAAACACACCCTGGTACACGGGGCGCAGTAGGATGGGGACAGGATGACGCATGCAAAGCCAGGAGAACTGTCCTGCCCGTTGCTGTGTGTTGCCTTTCAGTTCACAAAAGCAATCTCCAAACAAGAGGAAAAGCCCTCGCTGTTCACCGCATCGAATAATCAGAGGGCAACAGGTAGTTCTGCCCCAAGGAGGTTACCACCTAACGACATGAAACCACTGAGGATTGAAAGGACCACTGAAAGAGTCGAAATGGCTTGCAGAGGCCACGCTGCTGGGAGTTAAGGTTAAGCCTGAGGTTTTGCCCACTGACCACCACTCTTCTAGGCCACATGACTGTTAATTCCGGTGTTGAGTAGGTAGGTTCAGAAATTCAGGATGTTTATGGAACGGGGACTGAGCCACAGCTGCTGACATCTGAACTGTGTTGTGTGCACAAAGATGGACTTGCAGAAGACCTTGCTGACTCTAGAAGATGAGAGCTGCAACAGAGGCACCACCAGCACGGTCTGGCTGCTCTTTGCTTGTTTACCTGCACTGGTACACTTCAGTGGAAACTTCAAGAAGGAAAAGAAAAGCTAGGAAAAATAAAAATCAAGCTGAGCCTTTCTTTTCATTTACTGACTGGAATTTTTCAAATTTTTCCAACTGAAAAAAAATGTTCGGATTTCAGGAACTTGTAACCGTTTGAAAAAAAATAGAAAAAATCACTTTGAAACAAATAGCTAGGCTCATGGGAAATCTTACATCAAGCAGTTCAGAGGATAACATACTTTTCTTGGATGTGGGAAACCCCAAATTAATTTTTCCATGATCACTTTACAAAAGAGACCGTCACCCTGAACACTAGGCAACAGAGTCACTCTCATATGCTGTCTAAATCGATTCAGTTTAATTTATACTACATTTTTTTAGCAGGAATCTTTAAAACTACCTTGGAATGCCTTACAGGTCAGTAAGGAAACCAGCATCCCATGAGGAGGGAGATGCAACTGCTGGTCTGTGTTGTAAATAAGACAGAGATCGACCTGAATTACGCTTCCTCTGTATTCTCTAACCACGCGATGGATGGGGACTCCTACTGTCTTCCTCTCCTTTTATAACCAGCCCTTCAGTCTCCCTGATAATCTAGCTCGAGAGGAAGAAAACAAGGGGTGGGCTGAAGCCACCAAAGCACTCCATTTTAGAAATGTTCCCAGTCCTTTTCCCCCACACTTTATTTTCATTTTGGTAAAAACTACTTTGGCGAGTTAACCCAAATTGATGCATAGTTGCTTGACCATTTCCAAGCAGCTGAAATAGCAAAAACAATAATAGAGAGATTCCATGCAAGGCTGTTATCTTAACAAACATTACGGATTTTTTGGAAGATAAAAAAAAAACAACTGTTTTTTAAGACATTATCACTCTTCCCTCAAAGTTTTGATCTGGGATTTCACAACCAAGAAATATGGGGTGAGGCACATGCTTTAAGAACTGATCCTCCTGTCTAAGGTTTGAAAATTATTATTCAAGGGTAACAGAGAATTCAGAAAAAATCAGCTAGCCTACAAGTCAGCTGGGCAACACTAAACTTTCAGGAAAAATGAACATACTGTCATTTAAAAACAGACTTCTCTGAACCTTTATTCATATGGCTAAAATAAAAATTGTAAAATATCTGGTTTCTAAGACTGACTCTCTGATCACTATGTATAGCCCTGGTCATAGAGTCCTCGTTGGGAGAGGAGCTGGTCAGATATCTCGCATAAGCATCACAGAATTCGAAAAGTTCTGCTAGCCCGGATTTAACAGAAAGCTGGAGGAACTACAAAATACAAGAGCAGGATGGACAGAGCCATCCCTCAGGGCTCAGTTCCTGAGAGATGCACATTTGGAGAGATCAGGAGAAGAGGGGGCAGTCTTTCTGCTTGTCAAGGACCTACAGACGTTAGCAAACCCTTCGTGGTTAAGAACCCATGACACCTCTCAATCCAAGAGACTGAACAGAACCAAGTGACGAAGAGGAAGACAGACAGCACATCCGCCTCACTTGCTAGCAACGTCCTGACACTGTGAGCTCCCCATCAGAAATCAGTCTTTTAAGCCATACAGTCATGAATAGATGCTGGTGTTCAGGGACTGAAGACGTTTCAGAGCTGGTCATCAAAATCTCAAATCACAGAAGACGGGGTGGCAGGGACCTCCAGAGGTCTCTGGTTCAGCCTCCTGCTCCAAGTGGGACTAACTGCAGCGTCAGGTCATGTTGCTCAAGGCCTCACCCAGAACTTCAGAAAATCTTCAAGGATGGAAATCCCACCACCTCCCTGGGCCCTGCCCCAGAGCGCAAACACCCTCCTCATGAAGAACCTGCCCCATGTCCAGCTGGGCTCTTCTTTGGTGCAGCCTGCGCCCGCTGTGTCACCCCTCCAATGGGCACTCCTGACGAGTCTGGTTCCAGCTCCTCCAGTTCCTCACTGTGGATGATGGTAGTTAGATCCCTCCTCAGCCTTCTTGTCCCCAGACCAAAAACCATTCAGTTCTGCCAGTCTCTCCTACCTCATGTGTCTTTCCAGTCTTTCCTCAATTTTTCCTGCCTAAAGAGTCTGTATGTATTCCCTGCAGCACCCCAGTCATGGAAGCTATCTCATCGTGTCTCCATAAATCCTATTACTTTCTTAATTGTCCCTTAATTGCTTCATAGGCTACAGGTGTCAGTCCACGAGCACTGGGCAAGCAGACACCCACAGGAGGAGAGCCTGCTCCAGGGAACCAGGACCCTGAACAGACACAGCACAGCAGCTCAGGCAACAACAACCAGAGACAACAACGTGGCAAAGAGCCCCAGAAGAGGACTATGCTAAGGAGGGATTGGAAAGGTATGCCAGCAACCAAATAACGAGAGATTACTTCTTTGATCCTCAGGTGGCACTGAGTTATGACCACGGAGATAAAAAGCTCCTCTCCTCATTTCCACTCAGGACACAATTTCTGATTTCAGCTCTCTATGCAGGACTCAGATGAGGCTTCAGTTCAGCAAATCTCCTGGGCAGCAAGTGAACTTCTCCTGCATCCCCTGCTTTTAGGAGGAGAGGCAGAAAATGCATGGGAAAACAATAGCACGAGCCATCCTCTTCCCTCAGCACAGGTTAGGAAAAAAGAGGACACGTGAAAAAGCACAGGGCTCTGTTTTTGCTGGTGCACCTTCGGTGGGTAATAGCATCATTGCCTGGTCCCTTCCCCCTTTCAACCCATACAGCCTACCAGCTCCCCGCTGTCTCAGAGCTCACAATTCACCATCTGCCCTTAATCTTCCCTTTGTACTAACAACACTCTGCAACATCTTTTTTTTGCAACAATTGATAAGGCAGATAAGAACAAACAAGGAAATCGCGAGCAAGACATGGCCAAAAGTAATGGTACATCCTGCAGTGTTTCCTGTCATCTAACTGCTGAAAGGACAAAAAAAAAAACCCAACACATTTCTTTTGTCTGGAGTTTCACAGCCACGTGAAAATAAACATATGGAAAAAATGAAAATGCAATTCAAAAATACAGAAAAGAATGTAAAACTTACCAGGCTCTAACTTGATTATTTTCACAGCAGCCAGCTCTCCAGTATGAAGATTTCTAGCCTGAAATAAGAGTTGAGACATATTTAATTACACTGCAAAGGCATCTCACGCAGTCTTACGAACCGTGAAAAGATATGCTATGATGTCACGTGTTACAAACATAGCACAGCTGAGAGCAACCTGGGTGAGGATTATCTGGTTTTGGTACGAGCAGAGCATCAACCTAGTTAGAGTTGTGAAGTGTTACTGGCAGCTCCCTTCGAGACGTTAAAAAACCCCAGCTCTCTGCCAGCAAACGAGAGCTCGTGCCTCTAACCCACCGTTTTTAAGAGTTGTTGAAACGGAGACGTTGACGCCATCCGTGCTCGCTGGGGTGGTACAAAAGTGCTACAACACCAAGCGTGGGAGCGTGCAGTGCTCAACCACCCATCTCATGGTGCTAAACCTCAGCGTGCTCTGAAACTGGAACCGGTATAGCTGGAGGGGCGCACGCAGCGCGGATGAGTCGCGGCTCTCTGCGAACTTGAACTCTGCAAACAAACTCCTTCCAGCAGCTCCTGGCAGAGGCGAGCGGTCCCCGTGACCGCTCGAGAAGAAGACAGGATAGGGAGCTCCACTTAAGCCTGTACAGAACTGTGCTCTCCAGGTACGGTGTAGACTTCACACCCAGAAATCAGTACTGGAGGAAAACATTACATGAACATCAGATATAGAAAGTTTTAAGAGGGGATTTCATTAACGCCGTTAACTCTAGCAAAACGAGCTCCAAATCACTCGGGCACCATCACCAGAGCTAAGCTACATTATTTTTGACACTCAACCTGATCCAATTAGGCATTCCCCTTTTGCTGATCGTCCAACGGTTACAGGAGTCTGAACCCATCTGTTTCATTCTCACCCTAACAAACACGTAGAGTCTTCTGAACATACGAAATCCAGTTAAGAGGCAGATTATAGAAAATCAAGAGAAAACTGCCTTAAGTGAAATCAATTTGGGCAGCTGCTTTAGATGACGATGCAAAGCAAATTGGCTCCTGTTGACTGAACTGAGGAAAGTCACTGCAGAACAAAATGCTCTTCTCTTGCCTATTAACAAGATGTCATCTTAATTTAACAACAGGTAAAGCAAGAACTTGAAAGATGAACCCCTCAGTTTTGTCAACACTTAGTCAAGCTTCCAAATCGGGAAAGGCTTTCCAGCCAGGGAGAAAAAAAAAAAAACCACAAACAAACCACAACAACAGCAATAATTGGCCTTTCCAAGTCCTTCAGTGCTCAGCCAAGAGATGGGTGTCAAAATGCATGCCAAGGACACAAATACGACTCAAGTGAAGTCAAAGAGAACCTGAACAACTGTACAAAAGCACCAAACATCTGAAGCCAACAGACCAAATCACTGAACACAGAAACAGATAGTTATCTGCTAACCACAAAGGAAACCTTACCACTTCTTAAAAGTACTTTCCTACCAGAGATGCTTTTTAGACCACAGCAAAATCATGAGTACCCTTCAACATCCAAAAGGAAAACGTATACAAGCATGGACAAAGGATTAGGACTTCTTTGGTCCTGTTACACCTAACAACACCATTATGAAACACATGTTCCCATAAGAGACCAAGCACACACTGCCTTGGTGAAGCCAGGGAACCTCCACTATCCATGCTTCTGTCCACAAGCAGCTAAGCTGCTCGGATAAAGGAGATTGCACCGTTTCCAGAAGATCGGCTTCATTTCTGAAGTAAAAAGACGACCGTATTCCTTACAGATATTCCTTTTCCATATGAGCAATAACTGCCACTGCTACTGTTGCACTGAAGCCTGAAGGAATGGATGTAGCCTGCCAAAGGTCTTTGGTACGCAGACCGCTTGGCAGGGACGCGAAGGTTCAGGCCAGAGGAGATCACTGCAATTACTGGCTCTCAGCTCTCACACACAACAGGCCATAGAGCTTCACCAAACTGTGTCCTGCTGCTATCCAGCATGACCATTAAGTTTTTGCGTATAATCTATAGCCTGGACACGGACTATTTGGGGATTCAACCACTCAGCTTTGTCTGCTGGAATGGAAAGCTCTCCACCGGGTTGGTATTTATGGATTGAACATACCGAGTTATCCAAGCCACTCGCCCCAAGACCGGTTTTCTGGTCCTGCAGTTTAATCTCCCAATCGAACACGTTCTCGAGTTGACGACACCAGGACCACACATGCTACTTAACTCCTATCGTGCCAGCACCGAAGGCAAAAATGCTGAGTATTCCCTGATCCTCAATATCCTTGTTTGGATGCTCACAGCTACAGGAACCGTACTAGATCTTCCGTCGAGACGGTTGTCTCGATCATGAAGCAAATTACCCAAACGGCTTCCCAAGAGACATCGCCTCCTGCAAATGTGACTGATGGCTTTTGTTCCTTCATCTCAGATTGCACCAGCTTTACACAGGCACACACATCTCTCTCTGTTGTCATTCTTGGTTTTTAAACTTGTCTCTTCCACACCCTTCCGCCAGCTGAAAACTTCAATAATGAATTACTGTTATCTTGCACATCACTAAAAATGTAAGAAGGCGAGGGCTAAAAACTGGTTCTCCATGGTACACACCTAGATATGAAAACTGTCAAATAAGGATTCCTCAAATCATTCTGAGACACGTTAGTTAAACAAATTCTCAACTCGTTTCCTATGGGGGACAACAGTTTGTGTCGTCCTGCTTTTTTAAAAAAGGTTTGTGTATCAAGAAGTCACAGACAGGAATGCACTACATCAACATTGCGGGCTTTGTGAATCAAACCTGAAATTTTACTACAAATTATATTTGACAAAAATATAAGTTTTCCATAATTTCCCTGATGTGAAGAATTAGTCAATAATCTGTCAATTTGTCTTATTGATATACTTCTTCACTGGAGGGAAGAAATTGAAGTAAACCTAAGAAATTATGGTTCTCCTAGTCATCTTTTAAGTTTTTAAAGCCCAACAGCAAAACATCTGCCTTCTTCCCATCCCCTGAAATTTCCTCAGTATTTCAAGTCTTAATTCAAAACTAGTTGAAACCAACCAGAAGAGCTGTTCTCCTCTGCACACCAAGTAATCCAGACCCACCAATAAACAAGTATAGCTGCTGTTCAGTGTCTCATGAGCTACTATTGACACAGCAAGTTATCATTTCTATGCATTTATCACATAAAGATGACATACAGATCATGAACTTCGATGATCTCTTCTGAATTCTAATATTTCTAATATTTCAGCCTAATGAAAGACAAAAACTGTTACATTTCTTATTGCCTTTAATTCTGCTGGCCTTGATTCCTTCAATACACAAAGAAGTCACCCAAGTTAATCATCTTGACACCAAAGGCTAAAAGACAAAGCTCAGGGTGTGCACAGCTTCCTCCTGCTCTGGAGCCCACATCCCCATCAGCAATGTGGTCCAGTTCCCACATGACAGAAGTGGAGCCCGACTTCCTTGACAGATCAGGGGACTTGCTGGAAGACTTTCCCCAAGAGGAAGACAGAGCTTTTGCTATCTGTTAGTACTGATCTTAAAATTATTTAAATTAAAACTATTTAAGGAGACTCAAAACTGAAAATTATGTCCCACATTACTCAGAATGAAAATTAAAACTACAGGATTTTGGCAGAAGGATGGCAAAGCTCCAACAGGAAACTTGACCTACACAAGAATGGGACCAGAACAAGGGTATGTTTGAAGGAGGTAAGCCACACACGGTTGAATTTATTTTGCTCAATGTCATACACAGAGTATATTTACTGAGAAAGAAGAGCTAGGCAGCAGTCTTTTGGTCACCTCTTCGGCTGTCCTACAGCCTGCTACAGCATGAGTGACAGCATCCCACTGAGCACAGCTCTTCCAGGATACCGTAGCAGCTAAATACTAATACTACAGAACATCACACAGAGTCTGTTTTCAAAATAAAACAACACACATGTACTCCTCTTTTTTTTTTTAATATCTCCTTCCATAGTCGTAGCAACCTCAGAGATTACATGTCACTAGTTTACTGTGACAGCACAATAATCATCACACTTTTTTCCCCTGTGTATGTCAGCACCAGTCAATGCAACCCAGACTCCCTCAAGCATACACACAGCTGTACCAGAGCAGATTAAAGGTTCCTCTAAACCTTCCATGGTCCTGTCTCAAACAGCCGATGCTTCAGAAAGCTGTTAGGAGCTGACCAAGCAAACGGTGACCCTTTCCTGATGCACTCTCCCAACAACTGAAGCAGGATCTGCACGGTGCCTGCTGCAACAAGGACTGGCTGCAGACAGAGCCCGCGTTAAGACTGTCAGTCCAGGAGCAACACACGTTCTTCCAACCCAGGCACAACATCAGTGGTGTGTCCGAACGCCACACTCAAAAATGAGAGGTGTGCTATTAATAGCACTGGGGTTTTGGGGAGGTGGGAGAGTTTTATGGTTATTACACACAAAAAATCATAAGGTTTTCCCACCATGACTTAACTTTCTTCTCAGAACTCCATCAAAAAAGCTGCTGTGAGACAGTGGAACCCAACGTGACAACCGTGGCAATCCCTCCGCACAATGCTTCCCACCGCACGCCCAAACAACGCACATGAGAAACCACATTTTGGGTAGGACACTTTCTGTAGCTAATGACCAGAAATAACACAGAAAACTGGTTTCAGAACCAGTTATGCACTCTGCAGTTCTGTTTATTCATTTTTAAGAGTGTAAGCCAGACAATTCCACCTCAGGGGGTCCACAGTACTAAGCTGTGTGAGCTGGACAAGAACTGGAGAATCATTTCACTTGGACATCTGAATGCAAGTTTACTCAGTCTCCTTGTCCAGCCACCTTCTCCTTCAACACTGAGGAAGAGAAGGTGAAGATTCCGACAGCGATACCATTTTCACAGCCTCCAAATTAGCATTTTCAATTTCCATGGTGAAATCCCCTCCTTGCCCCAACGTCATCATCTGATCTCCAGCCTTGGATCCACAGCCCAACGCACCAGAAGAGCTGTTTGTTCGACTGTGTCTTCATTTAATCTGATCATAATTGCAG